TTGAAGCATACAGTAAATAATTAGATAATTTTGAATTCCTTATACTACTTTATAATATTATATAGTACATAATTACTGTATAATAATATATACTATTACATATATTACATATATTATTATAATTTATATATATAAAATTGCCTAAAACTTGTGTGAACTAATTTGCTGAATAGTGCAAACCTGAATTACCTGCTTGGGAAATAATGCAGTTAAGATCTTCCTAGCGTGAAGAATTTTCACTTTATCTTTCCAAATGATATTTCACAAAGATTTTCCTAACAACAGGAGGTAGGTGTCCTACCTAAATTAATGCATATGGTTCAACTTTTTAAAAGTCTTTTTCCAATTTATAGTTTGTAGTCCAAAAGGGATGACTTTCAAGTTAAATTTCATGTTTAGTAAATCAGGGATCTGTTTGCTTTTTAAAAATTGTATTGTTTCTTAGGATTCTCCAATATATCACTATGACAATTATTTGAAAAAGTAGCAACTCAGCATATCGTGGCTTGATTAATTTGATAACTTTCCATATTATATACTGAGAAAGTATTCTAATATGCTGCTAGGTTTTTATACTAATTTATGTTTATTTAATAATAGTCTTTGTAATATTCAGTTTGACTGTCATAATCCTGAAAAACAAAAATATGAAATGGATATGAATATATGTCATTCTAAACCTTTAGATGACTCACAAATAACCATTTCAAAGTTAATAAGATATTCTCACCAACATTATTGGTTTAGGGAGTTTCTATATGCGTTTTGTGGTGCTGTATTTTATACAAAAGAATAAAAATTAATTTTCCAACATGGTCCCCATGGGGTAGAGATTAGCCACAAAAGACTCCAGATTTAATGGAAGCTGCTCAAGATTAAGTTAAAAAGGAAAACTTGAGTCATGAACTAACTTCTTCCTAATATTCTCATTGTGACACTACTGACTCATTCATTATTCATTTTGCGTAAGTCACTTACATTTTTTGTGACTTAGATTCATAGATTATGAAATGGGGCTAATTTAATGGTCCTATTTAATAGCTCTATTAGAACTTAAAAGAAATAATTGTTTTTATTACAAATAAGTAGATTGTCATCTTTAAACTACTATCTCTAAAGAGATGTATATTTTTTCTACATAAAAGTGGTTTTTATTACAGGTTCAATAAATGTGAAGTACTTCGGTCTCTGTACCACCCATCGAAGATTGTTTTTCTCTGCATGGTAGTGCAATTCTCTACAGAATTATTAAGGAAACGGGGCTCATTTTGTGGTGCCTTCCCTGTAGCAACACCTCACCTTCTTACATCTCCCTCTCCCCATTAAGCCAAGTGAGCAGAGGCCAGGGCCTTCGCACTTGATGGTGCAAAAGTTGCCCATTCCTAGGCTAAAGTGGTGACAAATTCAATCTGAAGAAATGAAACATCACTTTATTCATATGGGAAATAACTATGCCTTGGAAATGTTCAGGGCTTGGTAATTAATAGGGCTTGTGTAGCTTTGTGTGCGGGCCAATGTACTAGCAACACAGCAACAAAACAGAGGTTTGGGAATTTCTGTCTTATCCAGAGCAGTTAAAATGGGGCAGTAACAGAAAGCAGGGCTTCTCTTTCCAAGCAAGGAATAGCAGTGAGCTTAGAGGTTTAGTATATGTGTTTAAGACACAGTCACATGTTTCATGTTTAAGAATGGCTTCTCATGTTAAATAAGTTAGTTCCCCATGTACCTTCTCCTCGAAGCATGGACCAGATGGATTATGTCCCATTTTACAATGACTCGATGGAGAACTACTACACTCTTTTATTGCTAAAAATATCTCAGTGACTCAGTACTTTAGGGCTTATGCATAGATAATGTGATAAAATAAAGGCATATGGTAGATGAAAGGGTTTCACTCTCTTTGAGGTCTGACCTTCAGATTTTTCAATTGGTAACTTTCCCACTGTTTGAAATCCTGAACCTAATCCACATTTTAAAAATATCTATCTCAATATTGTTCTCTAAAAAGGCAAAATGAAAGTGATTTGGAACCTTCCCGTTTTTCAGTTGCTTGATTAAATATTAATTTTTTTGCCTTCTATTTGTGAGGCAGTTTTCTGATAGTGGGTAGAAAGAATTATATAGTTTCTCCTCTTTGTTTAAGAGTTTATCATTGACTTAGGAAGGAAAAGATGTTATAAGATACTGATAAATAAATTATACAGGCTGGGGTGTTGCACATGTTAAGAGGAAGAAGAAAACACTTCTAGCTTGGATTGTCAGGGAATATGGGGCAGCAGGGTCGGGGGGAGCTCAGGAAATGGAATGTGCATGAGCCTTGTAGAATGAGAAAACTATGAGTAGCACTGGAGAAGGAGACATTTCACTGTCTGATGGTCATAGAAGCAGGTCTGGCTTGGCATGTTCAAGGGACAGTGAGTAAACTATAGCATAGTGCCTAAGAGCATGGACTCTGGAGCCGGACTGCCTGGATTCTGGATTGCCCTTTATTTGTCTCATGGCCTTGGACCAGTTTCTTAACCATTCTTTGCCTCAGATAGAATTAAAAAAAAAATGATGCTAATCTTGCCTGAATCATAGAGCTCTTATAAGGATTTGACAAGTGTGCCTTCAAATAGTGATGGCTCAAGTTAAATATTAAATAAGTATAATAGAATATGATGATGACTGGGATGTGAACGAGCATAAAAGACAAGGCTGTAAAGAAGATTGGAGTGAGCTCCTTGAGGGACTGGACTCTCAAGACTGAATAAACAAGAAACCATGATGAAAGTAGTATATTTGAAAAAAAAAATAGTCTAGCAGAATAGGTTGAAAAGAGATTGGTAGCAGAGAGACTGGTTAGGAGACTTGTGATTGTCTAGACTTGAGGGGTTTAAGACTGGGACTCACATGATAGCGCATGGGTTTGGATTAAAAAGAGGGACAGACCTTGGGAACATTTACAGTGGAACATTGTTAGGGTCCGGGGTTTGTTAGGCACATAGGAGACAGAGGGTTGTACCTGAGTTAAGTGGGAGAATTCAAACATACAGGAAGGACTTCTTAGGAAGAGCTGGGAATGTGTACAAAAAGATGAAATCCATTTTGCATATCTTGAATTTAAAGACAAGAACAAAATTTGGCATTGAAAATGCCTATCTGTTACTCTTAGGGAAATCGGGTTTGGATATATAAATGGAAGACCCACAGAGGAGCAACTTGTGCTATGCAAGTAAATGAGGTGACAAGGAGGAGAGGGTATAGAGTGATTTTCTCTCTCATTTCTGTAAGATAAAGTGTGAATATAAGGGAACGAAAACATGTTCCTAGCCCACTGAGTCACTTGAAACAAGGGCAATAGTAAAGCTCGCTGGTCTGTAAAGCGCCATTTCACAGCTCAAGTGCCAGACCAAGCACTGTAGATGTGCTAAGTGTTAATAAATGCTGGGTTCCTGGATCTGTAATTGCACATCATTGCAAACAGGCTTTATTCTGGTAAGGGAGAGTTATCCTTTCAGTTATCCTAATTAATCTTCTCCAATTCTAACCACACCTATAATATGAAGCCTGTCAATACACACACATGTAGTTAATTTATGTTATTATTATATAAAAAGTTGTTCCTTTTAAACCTCTTTTTAACATATGCTTTTTCTTTTCTCTACTACATTGTAGTTGCCTGTTGCTAAGGAGCAGGCCTCCTGTTGGTTTCAGTCCCTCATAGATTTTGCATTCACTCATTCATGTATTAATTCCAGTTCATTAATTTATTCATTTGTTCACTCCAGACACTGTATTAGTTGCTAGGGTGAAGAATAAGGCATAGTTCCTGCCCTCAAGGAGCTTAACTGTTTAGTTGGGGGAGAAAAGACACAGATATATGAAGTAGAAACAGTAATAAAGTCATTCACAGAAAATTATGGGAACGTGGGAGAGAAACACTCCCTCTGGATTATGGAGCATGGGCAGTGGGGAGAAGTACTTCTGGGAAAATTTTTGGAGCAGTTGACTTCTGGGCTGAATCTTAAATGATACGTGGTGGTTACTAAGTACATAGAAAGAAGGGGAGAAAATGACAGTAAAGACAACCAGTGCCTAGAGAGAGTCATAAGAAAATGTGAGGCATTTGGTATTGCTGCAGCATGAAAACAGAGGCAGAGAGTGATGAGAGCTGCTGTGGGCCTGACAGAGAGCCCTGGAGGGACCTGGATGCAGTGCTTAGAAAAGCATGGAATACTTTCAGTGGTCAGAGAAGAGGGAGATCCTTGAAGTGGTTTCTGCAGAGCTGTGATCTGGTAAGATTTTAGTCCTAGGTGGCAGTTGGGAGGATGCATTTAAGAAGGATAAGACATTTTGGCGACTAGCAAGGTGGGAGACACTTAGGACCTAAACCAGGACAGTATTGTGAGAATGGAGATGAGTGGGCAAAATCAAGAAGTACTTGTGATATAAAATCAGCAGGACCCATTATAACCACAGATGAGGGAGGGAAGGTCCTAGGATGGTTCTTATGTAGCTACCTTATATGATCGGGTAACTGATTTCACAGTCTACTTAGAGAATAGAGGAAGAGAGATAATACAGTGAGTTCATTTTTATTTTTATTATCTTCAACACATTGAGATATTTAATACACCTCTGATGTATTTGGAGTTAAATCTATTGATGGTTAACAGAGATGTCTAGATGATTAGAACTACCTTGCTGTTAGTATTCACCTTAACTGTATCTCCTCTTGGAAGCAGAGGTGACTCTTCTTTTCCTACAACACCCTATGCATTCATAACTCTTTGAATGCATTCATCTGTCATAACTCTTTCACTGTGCTGTAATCCTTGATTTTCTTTTCTGTTTATTTCTGTAGTCACAGTCCACTGTTTGATATATAACCTCTCCGTAAATGTGAGTGAATAAATGAATCAATAGATTATTTTAAAAAAGTAATTATGATTTGATTATTAGAAAAAGTTTATATTTGGCTTATTCTCAAGCTAATTCTTCTGTGTCTTAACTCCTAGCGCTTTCCACTGGAAGAATCTCAAACAGTGGAACTTCGTCAGGAGCAGCAGCACCAGCCAGCTCAGCCAGGGGACAGCCCCAGCCAGGTGACCAGGACACTTTAGTACAAAGAGCTGAGCACATTCCAGCAGGGAAAAGAACTCCAATGTGTGCCCACTGTAACCAGGTCATCAGGTTGGTTATTCGTTTTTGAAATTTTCTTGAAATACTTAGTACCAGTGTTGATTTTTTTTTTTACATATATTCTGAAAGATTTGAAATTTTATTAGTGAAAATATTCTTGCTATACTTCTACGTAATAGTTATTGAAGTAGATAAATTTGAATATATATACTTGTTAGAATCTACTATAATGAAAAGTAATTCTGGACTCTGTGGAAATAAAACTAAAAATACCAATTTTCTCTCTATCAGAACTAAGAAAAAATAATGATTAGTGTGGCCTTTCAGAGACTAATAAAATTTTAAGACTCAAAGGGACCCTGAAGATCATTTATCTGAACTTCATTCTTTTACAAATTGTAAAAGTGAGGACTTTTCATTTAGATGAAAAATAACTGGTGACATAAAATAAAGAACTTTGAGCCCTAGAGAAAAGAAGATTGGATTTTCGAATACCTAAGCACTGGAAGATATAATTACCTTCAGGTCTATTCATAAATGCTTTCAATTTTAGATTAGGTTGTAACCTGCTTTTTTAAAATATTTTTTATCCAAATCTGTTTTATTGTCTCTTATGTTCCAAGAGGGATAAAAGGCCCAGAGATCTTAAGTGAGTGCTCTATATTGGCACTTAATAAACCTCTGAGTATTTCTTAATAAGTGGTTTTTAAAATGTTAGGAGGTATCGATAAGAATGTTGACTGCAGGGATTCCACCAGCAGGACCTTGTTGCCTCTGTGAGTTGCCTTGTTGGCAGTAACAAATGGTAGGTTGAAATGACTGCTCAGGCTCTCTCCTTGTTTTTAATTTATCCTGTTTTAAAATAGTTGAAACGGTGGCTTCTTTAAAGTTGAATAAGGTTACGACTTACCTGCATTTCCTCTACTCTATTACATAGTTATTGCTTAGGATAATGTTTCTAGTTAATACTTAAAACAGAGCCCAAGAAGCCTCAATACTTTATTTAAAAACCAAATATAAATACTCTTTTCCTTGACCACTATTAAATAATAAATGTGTCAAGGACACAGCACACAGTACATGATTAAAAATAAAACAGCTTTTTTATTTTAAACGTTCATTTGTAACATTCCAAAAATATAGTGAAACAGAAAGCAAAAATAAAAATTCATACATAATTCTACCTTACAAGATAACCACTAAGAATATTTGAGTTCACACTTTTAAAACACAACACATGTTAAGGACAGGTGTTATTTTACAGAAATGGAATTATAATAACAATATTTTGTAAGCTGTTATTTTTCACTTAAGTGTGTTTTCCATATTGAGTACCTGCTTAATAAGAATTAGCCAGTAGCAGTGGTAGTAGTAATAATGATTATGGGGAAAAGGAGAAAATCAGTGGAGGTTTCCCAAGTCTAGACAGTAACCAGTACACAGAAGGCATTTGTGAATATTTTACCTGAACAGGTAGGTCATGCATGACTCCAGACCCACTTGTTTAAGCCATAATATCAATTGGTTAGAGTCACTTTCCTAACAGTGGGACTGTAGGGTTACTACCTTACAGAAATACGTAAACTAATAGACTCTAGAACGGTACTGCTTTGTTCCAATAAATAAAAGTATGTTTTTAATTACTAACTGTATTTAGTTATATTTTTAGGATTAATATTAATAAAATAAAAATAAGTTCTAACTTATTATTTCTATAAGTTATGCTACTTTGGTCACCTAGACTGGTAGTTAGGGATGCTATATTCTGGATAAAAGCACCCTTTATGGAGACAGGAGTCACTGCTGTTTGTGTGCTGCTGTAAGCAATTACTGGATAAGCTAACAAACTGTCAAATCCTATCACTTGTTGATTCATGATTATCAAATTCTGTGACATCCTATAATCATCAGTACCAACGCATGTAAAAAACTTAGTATGGAGAAAAGACAAAGATCTAAATAGGAATTACATTCCTACCCCTCCCTACCTACCTTGGCTTCAATTATAATGCTAGGCCAGGATGTAATTTTCATGCACGGTCTCTATTCCATGTGAAATAAATATATATTATGTTGATAAGATGAATGGCCATCACTTACTGTTCCTCATCTGTTAAATTTTATATTGCTCTGGATTATCCCATCACTGTTTTCAGTTAAGCATTAAAACTTCATTTACTTAGGGAAGTTAATAGGAACAGGGATTAGTTCATGTCAAGATCATATAACAGTAATTAACATAGCACATTTGCTTGGTACTCAAATGCTAAAGTAGCTTGAATAGACTGTAGTCAGTTTAGAGATCCCGTCAAAGCATAATTCTTGTTCTTGGCCTCAGTGTCAGTATTGCTTACCAAAGCAAGGACACGTTAGATCAAGTGACATTCACTTGGACACCTGTTTCAAAAACAAGCTGCAGTTGCAGACTTGATACTTTGAATACAGAATATTGTAACCTGGTGAACTTTGGGAAGTTTAGGATCATTTTATAATTTATATTTCTTATTTTCTACAGTATAATTTATATTATTTGTTTATAATTTGTATTGTTTTATTATATATATATTCTAAGCATCTCAAATTTTCAAAAATTTTTAAGTGAAAGCAAACTAAGGCAAAGTTTATTTTAATTTTTTTTTTAGCAATATTCATTGTTTTGGGAAAACCTCAGAAAACTTAATCACTGAATGTTAGTACTGAACTAGTTACCTCTTTAACTAGCTTAAGGAACATTTTATTTGGACGTAATGCTTAACATTTTTTGGTTTATTTGAACCTTGAAAAGAGTTATGAATGTTGTGCCTAAATAGACATCTTTGATTAGTTAGTGGCCTTTATAGATAGATAAGAAATTCTACTGAGGCTTTGATTAAGTTTGCTCTGGAACATTTCCAATCCATTTATGATAGAAGTACCATTTCTTTGACTCTTACACTCGTGAATTGATTGACAGCTGGGTGCTGGTATAAAAGGGAAACAGAAAATCAGGTTAATGTAGCCAAAACCACATTTTAGTCTCCCTGATAGAATGGGTTTATGAAAACTCTAGTTTATTTCTTGACTGTTATATCTAGTGGCATTAAAATCGATTCAACGCTTGTGTTACCTGGAGTTGACTAAACTATTCACTTTTAGCTTAACATCTTTGTGAAAGAAGTACAGGATTTATAGTGCTTGAATTTCTTCTTAGCTATGGTATGCTTAAAAGAAATAGCCTCAGTGCTGTTGTTCTGTATCTGCCTGCAGGATAGCACCAGAACAATCACGTTGAGGCAACCCATGGTTTATTCCAGTGAGAGAGATTTTTAACATTACTGGTCTGTTTCTTGCCAGTGATTCTCAAACTTTCCTCATACCGGGCCATCTCAGTTACCCCAAGGAGAGGCCAGCAGAGGTTTTTGCTTGTTTCACTGTGCATTTCAGTCTCTCAGCATTCCTTTACTAATAGGTTTTATTTATTCTCCCTTTTGGTTAAAATTTCACTTGAAAATAAAGTTTCTGGTAATGCATTAGCCCCTGAATTTAAGGAAACAACCAAAGACACAGAACAAGTTTTATGAGCAAGACATATAGACCAATATTTCAGATTTACTATAGTGAAAAATTGGAAAGAACACAGATGTTCAGCTAATATCATGGTGCCATTAAGATCGTGGTTTTGGATAATAATAGTAATTGTTTAATGTGTTCTTAGCATATGTCAAATGTGCTAAGAGTTTTACCTGAATTCCCATTTAATTCTTTATAAGCTTGTGAGACAATTACTGAAATTGCCTCAGTTTTGTAGATGAGAAAACTGAGGCACAGAGAAGTTATGTATTTGCCCAAAGTCACATAGTTGATAAATGGTAGAACCTGAATTTGAGCCCAGATCTAACTTTAAATTTATTCATGTTTTAACTACTACTTAGGAAAATATTTATAGTATTATGTTAAGAGGAAAAAAGAAATATATTTTTTATTTTAAGTATGATTCTAATTTTGTATAAAGAAAATGTATATCAAGATATATTAATAAATATGAATACATAGCTTATGAATACATATACAGTCATATATGTTACTGTATTAAATAAGGAGAAAAACAGCTTAAGCAGACCTGCCATAACTTGAGTGCAGCAATGTACTTTTCTTCATAATGTTTGAGTATATGAGGGAGAAGAGAGTAAATAATAGATTGAAGAATTAAAAATTCTTACCTCCCCACCAAAATGACTTTGTGCCACATATATGCATTCTTAGACTCATAGATGACCCAGGGTTCATTTTTCCAGTTTCTCATCTAATGTAGAAATGTAGTCATTCTGTAAGTAAACACTCATTAAGTATTTTTTGTACCACCTACTTTAAGCACCAGTGAGACAGAAATTAAAGACATATTCCCTTCCCTTCAGGAAGTTACTGTTACAGACCAAATCTGCTCTTGGTTTACTCTGTGCCCACACGTGAAAGTGGTTGTGACTGGAAGGAAACCCACAATCATACTAACCAGATTGTGTCCTCACCAAATTCGGATATCGAAGTCATCTCAGGTGGTATTCTTAAAGAAAAGATTGGACACAGAGATATATGGGGGAAGACCATGTGAAGATACATGGAGAATATGGCCATCTATAAGCCAAGGGAAAAAACCTTAGAAAAGAGGAACCCCGCCAACACCTTGATTGTCTGTCTAACACTAGGTGAACAGATCTGGGCTCCAATTTAGATTCTACCATTTATTATCCATGTGATTTCTAACCTTCTAAATTATGAAAAAATAAATTCCTATTGTTTAAGTCACCCAACTTGTGGTACTTTATTAAGGCAACCCTAGCCAAATAATACAGTTATACTTTAGTAAAAAATACAAACAAGCAAATCAACAACCATATTGATGTAGTAATAAGTCTAATAGGGATACATCCAGAATCCTGCTGGTGCAAAGAGGAGAGGTGAGGATTATCTAGCTTCAACAAACCACTTTTATTTGAAAGGAATGGCAAGAAATAAGGTTCAATAGTTGAAGTCTACTTATAAAGTCTACTTATAAATGAGAGGTGGGCAGTCTC